TACATACTTCATGCATCTTCGATCCTTCTAGGACTTTCATATAGATATCATTTTTAATCGAGCAAATAAGTTATGATCACATTCATTAAATACATGTATATGATTTTTTTCACATATTTTGCCAAACTAATGAGATAACAAAACATAATTACATCCATTACAGGAGAATATGTCTCATATTCAATGTCGAGTCTTTACGAAAACTCTTTTATTACAAGTCTTGATTTATATCTCGTAATCTCATCTTTTTTATTTTGTTTTCATAAAAATACTCATTTATATTCCAATAGCTTAACATCTTCGAGTGTTTTTTACTATGGATTCAAAAACTATTCATTTGCAAGAGAACATAATTCTAGTTGAATTGCTCTTTTCATTTAGGCAAATCATCTCTATGTCAATATTTTTTTAATAAATTTAGGCCTAGGATCCTTATTTTAATTCAAAATATCAATTGCAACATTACGAATAAAAATTTTATCGATAAATGTTTCTTTTTGGTCTAATTTTCTCCATGTATTGACATAATTTATCCAAATCTTTTGATTTTTATCAAGCATTTAGACTTCTTCTAGAAGCCTATTATCAAAAATATCATGGACCATTTTTGTAAATATTTGCATCCTTTATATTATTATCTTGATTATTTATCCTTTTCTTTTAGAAATTTTTATCTTTAGAACCGATCGGTCTTTTACGTTTCGTGCGTGCTTTAGATTCATTTGTTATAATATTAATAGATTATCTTTCTAGGACATCGATTCTAATAGGAGTATTCTCAATGAAGACATGCATCTTATTTACTCATTTAGGATCTAAGAATGCATTTAGCAGTTGGTTTGCAATACCTTGTAAATAATTTATCTTTTGAACTTCTAGTTTATATTATTTTGTATGAGGATCAAGATGATATAAGATAGAATACTCTATGTAATATATTTTTTTCAACATTTTTATTTGCTTATTTTTCTTCTTCTCTCTCCCTAATATTGAAAAAACATGTTTCATTAAAATGGTAGTCGATAAATCGAGCTATAAAAATATTTTTTATTCATGGTTAAAGATATTGAATTATCGAAGAGGATTCAAGTCTAACATATATTTCTAATCTCCTTGAAGTGCCTTTTTGTTTCGTTACGGAGGAGCATTACGGATATATGCTACAATGTCAAAAAATTTTAAATAAGAAATATTTGGCTCATGACCATAAACCAATTAAAGAGGGATAATTTTTGATAACTATGGGTCCGATACGAATAAATCCCACTCGTATGTAAGATTGCATGTCCCCAAACATAAACATAGAGTTTTTATTTTTAAATAATGGCTTAGCTATCAATTGGAGCCTTTTGATAAACCATTTTGCTAAACTTTTAAGAGTATCAACATGAGTAATAGAATGTTCAACTTTTATTCTAATAGTCAATCAATAATCATTTAATGCTTAGAAGATAAATTCACCAGTATTATCAAGGTGAATTGTTTTAATGGCATAATTTAGAAATTATGTTTATAATTGAATTATTTGGGTCGACAATCTCGAGAACGTTAGGTTTCAAGTAGATAATAAATATACATATGACCAATTTATAGATACATCTATTAAAACCATAAAATATTTAAATGGTACACACGGTGAATGAATTAATCCACATATATCACCTTGAATATATTCTAAAAACACTGAAGATTTAATCTCAATTTTACTTGTGATGGCTTAATAATCAATTTTCCTTGAAAACATGCAGAACATAAAAATTCATTAAATTGAAGAATCTTCCAACTCTTCAATAGTTGTTCATATGAATTTTTAATAATTTTTTGCATGATGAAAAAATCAGGATAATACAACTGATCATGTCGCATAATAAAAGTATTTGAATTAGTAAACTTTTGGTTTACTATAGTATTTGTTTCAATCACTCCAATGTTATAATAAAGACTAGAAGAAAAAACGGATAATTTCTCCAATATGTATTTTCTATTCAATGTAATTATAATATTTAAGTATTCAATATTTTTCATATTTACTTTCTTGATATGATATCAATTTAGATGAATATCTTTGAAACTCAACAAATTTCTATGAGACTTTAGAGGGAATAATACATCAATTATAATAAAATTTGTTCTTTCGGATAGTAATATATTTTTCCTTCGAAGCCTTGAAATTTTGCTACTTCAAGTAATAAAATATTCACTTTTCTAGAGTCTTTAAAAGTTATTTCTTCGTATAATAATATATTTGCTTTTTTAGAATCTTCAAAATTTGTCTTTTTCGAGATAATAATATAGTTGTTATTCGGAGCTTTCTATTAAATTGATGTCATCATATATAATATTAAAATAGAACAAATAAATAAATAAATAAATAAATAAATATATTCTTCATAAACATTAATTAATTAATTAATAAATAGTAAAATAAATTTATATTTATTTCTATGCAATAGAAATTATAAGAAAATATAAAACATCTTATTTATAAATAAAAAATCTAACAAGTTATTAATTTCAATTACCATCATTTTGATAAAAATTAGCCTTTATATTTTACTCTTTCTTTTTCCATGAGGCTTGACAAGACTCAATGAAGTGCTTTGGTGTACGATAGGTACACGATTAGTGTTCATTCATGCCACATCTATAACATTTATTTTTAGAATACCGACTTGATCTATTTTTAGAATATTGACTTGATCCATTTTTATTATTTTTTTCCTTTATATTTTATCCATTTCGGTAGTGAGATATATTGCTATGGTTATTACGATTATAATGATAATTATTTCGATCACGTCCATGGCTACAACCATGCCTTCGTCCATGTCCAAAATTATTATAAATTGTTACATTCACTTCGGATAATGGAGTATATCCAGTTGGACGAGATTTATTCTTTTTCATCAATAGCTTGCTATTTTATTTAGCTACAAGCAAGTATGAAATCGATTCGGAATATTTCTTAAGCTTTTTTCTTGATACACTACTACAAGAGCGTATTCGATGCATAAAAAACAAAAGAATATTTACTCAGTATCAAGCATTCATGATCAATAATTCTTGTCCAAAATATCAATGGCCACAAAATCAAGTTTTATGAGGTTTGATATCATAAAAATTCTATGATGCAAAGTATAATAATAATATTAAGAAATAAAAATAAAATTTAATAGCAAAATTTAAATAAAAACAAACATATTAATAAAATTTAAACTTTTCAAATAATATATATTATTTCAAAATTCTATATATATATTAAATCATTTAAATTTTTTAAAATATATTCTATGTATAATTAGATTTAAAGTACATGAAAAATTAGATAAATTTCTCTTAATGATCTAAATAAATAGATTTTTTGGTAGAGCACTTATGTAGAAAAAATCCAATAATCGAAATAAATAATTGAGTTTTTTGGTAGATACATACCTTATGATCTATTATCTTGATTGATTAGAGCTTTGTGCTAATAACATTTATAAAAGAAACTCGTAACAATAGTAGAATTGAAGAGAAAGACAATAAGAAAATAAATTTATTATAAGATAAAGTGAATACAAGAGATAACAACTCCAAATAATCTCTCAATCTTTACAAAATACTTGTATCTCAACTAATGAACAATTAATCATATTTATAGGTTTCAAGATGAGGAAGAGATTATAAACTATGAAAAGATACATAAATAATTGAATAAATTGTATCACCTTTTTAATTTCTTATATTGAATGGTGGATTGACTCACATTGAGAATAATAGACGAGTGAGAATATGAAATAGTCATGGACATTCATTATTTCATAACATTATCATCTTTATTAAATATTTGCTATTTATTTATTTATTTATATAATGAAAATCCTATCTATACATAACATTATCATCTTTATTAAATATTTGCTATTTATTTATTTATTTATATAATGAAAATCCTATCTATAAATTTTAATTGAAATTTTTGAATTTTAACATTAATTAGTTGAACTAGCTATCCATTAATTAGTGATTGATTATGTAATGGAAGTATCACGAATTGGTAATATAACATGCCTTAGTATACTATTCTTTGAACTAACATAAATTAAGATCCAATAGGCCATTTTCCATGATAGTTAAGGTGGCATTATCACTTATCATTAAGATTAATTAAAAGCTCATATTAGATATTCAAAAATAATATTTTCTTTCAACTTTAGTTTTAGTAACATGCCTTTAATACAACATATCTTTAATAAGACTGCAGAAACATAAAAATTCATCTGAAGATATGTTCACAGTTAAGAAAGAAATAGCTTAATAGTTGAAAAAGAAAAAATAAAAAAATAAAAATTGACATCAGCAAACATCAAAATTTTCTGATGCCTCAAAAAAGGTTAATGATCATAATGATTTGTTCATTGTCGTGAGCATAGCAACCTTCTACGATATTGAGTTTTGGACCCACCGTTAACTGAGGCAAGAGGTTGCTGAATTTGGGACCTACCTTCATGGTTCCACCCACAAAAACACGATCCTTCTCAGAAATGAAGCAACTGTCTGACCATTTTCACATCAGAATATTTACGATCATCAGAGGCCAAAATTTTCAATTAAGAGAAACCCAACATCTATACTATATACCCAAAGATGTGTACCATCTAATCAATTGATTCATCATAGCCGTTCAATTTCTGATCTAAGAATCAAATCTCCCAGAAGCAAAATTAATGATGCTTGATTGGAGGTTGACTTGGACAAAAGTTGACGTCAAAGTCGTTACAGCACTGTACGCACCCCTATGTCACTCCGCCTTTCACTTACCAAGTTATTTCCTTCATGATTCCAAGAAGCTGCTTTTTATTATTATTTTTTATGCCATTTTGTACCCTTTATATATCACTTGTAGATAAAGAGCCTTAGCACTACTGAACCCTAAACTCAAAACTCCCTTCCGTCGCCATTTCATCTTAGTTAATTTTAGCTCTTAGTTTCTCTTCTTTATCCTATTTTTAAATTTCATGGCAGCTAAACGTTTTCTTGACGAGCCGGGTTCGAATCCGGATCAACCAGGAGATCAGAAACGAATGAGAACTAGACCTTCTTTCGCTTCGTATGTATTTTTCTTTTTTTCTTTTTTTTTTTTGCTAATTTCTTTTGTTTTGATTCATGAAACTTGAGTTTGATATTGAAACAGACCAACAATTTTTTTCTTTTTTTGGGGAGCTTTTAAGTACAATTTGAAGCTAGAAATGATTTAATCTTTGTTGAGAAAGCAACGAAAATTGCACTACTAGCTATTGGGCATTAGAATAGTGTATCTCATTGCTATTTCTTGACAGGGTGATTGGAGAAGCTGTTATGGTGAATTCCTTAAAGAATTTCTGCTTGGCCTTAGAGCCAATGCTCAGGAGAGTGGTAAGTTTATACAGATATTACTAGTGCATGTTCATTCTATTATGGATTCTTCAATTTAAATAGAAATGATATAAGAAAGGTTTTTTAAATATATGTACCTCGTTTTACTTGTAGATATATACATAAAATATCATTTCTCTCTTTAATTGAATACAAATTTCATATCCCTATGGGTCTCGGAATTTAGGGTTTGTACTAATTTTTTTTTTTTTTTGGATATTACATGCAAATAAAAACCCTACCAAAACAGAAAGCATGGTACAATTAACTAAAAAGTATTATTTGATTCTTATAAATGTTCTTATATGTTTTATTAGGTGAATGAAGAAGTGGAAAGTAGTTTAAGAAGTTCAACATCCTCTTTGACTAGATCATCTTCATTGCGAATCCAAGCACTTGAACCATCAAGTCTCCAACTAATGTTTAGCAAAAAACTTCTGCTCCCTATATTTACAGGGAGCAAAATAGTTAATCTTGATGCCTCTCCCCTCCAAATCCTTCTTGTCGACACAAGGGGTGATCAAATGGTTTCGAAATGTCTCCCTCATCCGGTCAAAATTGAAGTTGTGGTTCTCGATGGAGACTTCCCTTCAAATGATAGCAATAGTTGGAGCAGTGAAGAATTTAACAACAATATTGTGAAGGAGAGAACAGGCAAGCGGCCTTTGCTTGCTGGAGATTGCTTAACGGTTACATTAAGGGATGGATTTGCACCCATTGGAGACATTGAGTTTACGGACAATTCGAGTTGGATTAGGAGCAGGAAATTCAGGCTTGGTGCAAGAGTAGCTCCGGGGAGCTATCAAGGAGTTAAAATTCGTGAAACGATGACCGAAGCTTTTGTTGTCAAAGATCATCGTGGAGAATGTAAGTTTCTTCTACCTAATTATATTTGGAATTTCTTGATATTAATTTCATTGTCATGTTTGTTTCATTAAAGAATAACTTCTAGCAGGATGCATACAACCTTGCCATTTTTTTAAAAAAATTCTACAATTAATTAATTCATGCTAGATTTAGTTTGATTTGGTAGACAAAGTGACATAATTAATTGAATAATCATCAAATGGCTGCGTATAATCTCACCAAACCAACTTTGCTAACTTAATTAATCTCAACCACATATGCATCGATTTGTTAGAAAAAATTATAGGATGAATTTGCTTTATTAAATTTTTATTCTTTTTGCATGTCTACCTAAAGTGAGTTGGTCATAAAACTGATCAATGATATAGATTGGCAAATAAAACAGCGAATCTAGGTATTGAGTCAGACCCTTGAACTAAACAACAAGCTATTCCATTTATATTCTTCAATAATATTTATCTACAATTTCGAGAGAATCTTTGCTTAGTTGCTATTTGTTGCACTTAATCTGCTCATGTTAGCACCTACCGTAATAGATCATGATGGACATATTTATATTATTTCTCTTAAAAAGAAATTGTTGGATTTTCTCAAATTTAGTTATTGTTCCTCCATTCACATCTTAAATGAATTAACCATTTTTTTTTTTTTTGGGTCAAGGAGAAATATTTATAAAGAAAAATAATCAATTTTTAATAGATGGTTAATGTTGGAGAATGAATATAAAATAATTTTTTATGTCTCACCTACAATTTAAAATTTAACATGATACTAAAATCTATTAATAAAGTGATAATGATTTCGAATAGTACTCTTACCCTATCTTCTCTTCTAAGTAAATTTGATAGCCAATGATATTAATGCGGGCCTGTGCAAGTTATTAATTAATAATAATATTTAATGACAAGTTATTGTATGAATGATGTGGCACTCCTCAATTTTCTTAGTATGAGAAAAAAATATGTGGTATAACTTGTCAGACTTCTTTTTCGTGAACCGTGGCGTAAGGGTAATTATTTGGTCCTGGTGTAATTATAAATAAAATATTGCTCATCTTAGCTAATAATATATATATGAAAAACATATTCTTTACCTAACGATTCTACTGCATGTTACCTTGTTAGTTACCTATAGGTTTATAGTACAGTAATTATGATTTTTTTTTTATCTTTTAGAGATCACGAATTTAAAATTTTTATTTAAAATATTTGATCTTAAAAATATTATCATTATAAGAAGATGATAGAATAAGTCTTCATCATTCAATTTATCATAATAATTTAATATTTTCTCATATTTTATTAATTTTTAAATTAATTTTTAAATATCGAACGGTTGAACTGAGTCTACTACAAGATCTTATCTATGATTAAAAAATAATAATAAAAATTACACCTTATAAGTTATATAAAAACTATATTAACAATCCGTTTTTATAAAGTTTTACAAAACTTTAGTTCAATGAAGATCATCATGATCCTTACACCATTTAACTAGCCACAAAAATTCTTTTTATGAATTTTATGTCTGACTGGCTGCGGTCCTAGGTCAAAGAAATTAAACTCTTTGCCAACTGAGATTGCAACCGACCCTAACATGAATAGTCCTAATAAATACAAACATCATGATTTTGTACACACATCAATGTTAAGTTCCCCTCCTCCCTTTTCTCTCATGTATCGGTTAATAGAATTTAGCCCCACCAACAATATCCAATTGTGCATTTTCTTTTTGAAAATATTTGTCTTTGTCAAGAGACCAATCACTTGCCTTCCTTGACATGATTGGATTCATTTTCTTCAATAATCAAGCCGTGACATATTTTTCATTTTGGCCCTTCTATGCATGTAGTGTACAAGAAGCATCATCCACCAATGCTACATGACGAAGTTTGGCGACTTGAGAAGATAGGGAAAGATGGAGCTTTCCACAAAAAGCTAGCCGCCGAGCGCGTTAATACGGTGCAAGAATTCTTGAAGTTGTCCGTTGTCGACCCACAGAAACTTAGGAGGGTATGTAAATTTACATTTTCCCTTAACACTTGAACAATTCACATTTTATAATTTATATATGCTTCCAAATGTTAAGAAATTAACTTTCTTTCTATCCCTTGAACAGATTTTAGGCACTGGGATGTCTGAGAAAATGTGGGAAGTTACAATAAAACACGCTAGGACTTGTGATTTGGGGAACAAACATTTTATTTTTCGCCGCCCCAATTGCACCATCACCTTGAACCCTATATGTCAAATTGTGCATGCGATAATCGATGGGAATTCGTACTCCATTAAGGAGCTTTCAAGCATAAGGGTAAGGGATCATCTAGGCACATATTTCAAGTATACTTGTCACAAGTTCATTTTTGGTATTGTTCCTTAATTTATTTGTATATGCAACCTTTTGTTTCTTATCATGATTTATTGTGGCAGGGTTATATTGAGACTTTGGTAAGACATGCATATTTAGAATGGAACTCTTTAGAGGAGGTTGTCGGGGTTTCAAGTAACACTCCTTTGCTCACACAAGGTATAAATAGTTAATTCACTTATTGATAAAAATTGCTCACAATTAAATTTTGTACCCGGTATATTAACCATAGATTAGTTTAAAATTAAACAGGCGAGCCAGTGGATCAATACCCAAATCACCATCAGGCGATCGTGAAATCAATTCAACCAATTGGGCATTCAACTGATCATAGATATATTGAGATGGAGAACCTTCCAAGCAATGCACATTTTGGATACAACAATTGGCAAATAACTTCGAGTTATCTTGGTGCAGCAGCGGAACCGGGCATCCACTACAGCTTCTCGGAGTCATCATCGGATGGTGAAATAACACCCAAGTCTTACATCAACGGCAATTGATAGTGGATCGATGGAGCATCATGAGCTAAGGTGTAGAAAACATATTAGGAATCTATTCGGATGCCACGGTTTGTAAAATATCATACATGGCAATGGTGGGTGTAATAGTCAATTTTCGCATCATAATTTGTGATGCCCCATCAATTACGCTATCCCGCACTTTCCTTGGAACGTCACTGATGTAAACAGTTAGGCAAAAGAAATTAAGTGAGAGAAGCTACATAGGAAATCCCTGAAGCTTGACAATTATGGTATGAAGATATCATGCATGTAGCCAATCCTGGTCGGTCAAGCAACAGAAACATAATAGTGTCCTTTTCTTGTCCAACTAGTTTAAGCTGTCAATCGGCTATCTCCAATGGACTCCACTTATATAAGCAGCGCAGTTGCTCTAATAAGTTAGTTCTCTGTTTTTGAAAAGGGAGAATAACAATTTCATAAATCATATAAATATGGTAATACTCTTTTTGGTTTTACAGCAATTTTATTTTCAGATTAACTTTTGCATACCGAAATTATATTCACTTCATCTCATCGATTAAGTTAAAAACAGATTATTCATGGTGGGATTAAAAAATATATAAGCATTTTATGTCTCATAATTTGATTTGAGGTTCAACTTGGTGATTAAAGAGGGAATAGATCTCTTTCACCATCACGACAATCCCCTCAAATTAATATCTGTCAACATATACTCAAACTACATATTAAAACTAAAAATTTATTAATTATGGTTATCACTACCCGACTTTCGCAAGGCTTTCAAAATTTATTTATTATTTATTTGAAAATTTTATTTATTCCGAGAATGTAAATTATTATTAATTTTGAAATCGTCATTTTTAATTAGAAGAATTAAGAACTTTAGAGAGACATTAGTGCAAATATCCTAGGATAAGAAGTTGGTTATGTCTTTGGAAAGATATTAATCATTCAAAAGCATCATTATGAAGAAAGTTATTATGTCCGGTATAATTCTAAAGTTTATCTCCTAATAATTCTATTATTGCCAAAATTAATCCTAAGAAACTTTCAAAATTTGTTTTCTCAACTAAATTATTATTAATTTTTTTTTTGTGAAATCGTATTGAATCGATGGTTGGATCCTTTCATCGAAAGACATGTCGAGTTCAACGTCGGATCCACTTTAAATCTCGACATAGCTTTTATATCGGAGAATGACCTAATTATTAAATCAAGATTGATTTAGGTTAACATTAGTCTTTATTAAATAAGAGACTTTATTAATTTTTCACCTAATATTTTCTATATATTTTTTCTTATTTTTTATTTCTAGTTTTGTTTTTTCTCTCTCATTTGTTGTATTTTTCCTAATTTTTTTTTTGTTCATTTTTCATCTTTTTTTGTTTTTTTTTTTTTTGTTGTTGGTGGGAATCATCATCATTTCTTAAAAATTAAGAGACTTGATAATTCATCCACTTATTAATTACCTAACTTAATTATTAAAATAAATCCTATAATTAAACATTAACTAAATAAATTCAAAGAAATCCAAAACATTAAATCTAAATTAAGAAGAAAATAAGAATGCATAAATAAAAGATATCTAAGTTCAATATATATATATATATATATATATATATATATATATATATATATATATATATATATATTAAAGGAATTGGGCTTTTTGGAGTAAGCAGGCCGTCGGCCCATTGGGGGCCAGGCCCACCAGGGTGGAAGCCTATTTCTCTTCTCTTTTCTCTTTTTAGGGCTTAGGCTGGGCTGGCCTCTGTTTTGCTTGGGTTGGGCTTGGCCCAACTCATCATTTTCTCCCTTTTTTTTTTTTTTTTTTTTTTTGTCCTTTTTCTTTCTGTGGCCTAAACCAAACCCAAAAACATGATTTTCATTCTTTCCCTGTTCCATTTTAATAAAATTCCTTTTCTCCACTGTCTCGCTCGTCTCCCATCTTCTTTGTCTCTCCATTTCAGAGTCTTCACTTCTCTCGCCTCCTTCATCTCCTTTCTCCTTTAAAAACTGAAATGACCTACTGAGATCGAAACTATCTCCCTTCTTAATTTGATTCTTCTTCGGTATCTCAAAACGCCACCCAGAATACCTCCTGACCTTTTAAGATGTAACCCAAGATTATTTACCCTTTTCTTAGATTTAAGATCGATTGATCTCCCTTATGCCGACTGAGCCGCAGCCTCTGTTCTTTTCTGAATCTCTTCTTCTTGTCGTTTCGACCAAAACCTTATACTCTATGTCTTTCTTCAATCAAGCCTTGACCCTGGACTAAGAACCTATAATCAAACAGACAAATCTTAGATGGACCCTCTACAAAACCTCTGAACCCATTTTCTTTTTAATCTCAAACCCATAAATGATACCTAGATTGTACTTCTTATATTCCCTACTAAGATCAATCGATCTCTTCACCCATTTCATTAAAGGAGATCCTAGAGAGTCCATGAAATTTCCTGTTCTCTCTCTCTCTCTTTCTTTTCGTAAAAACAAACCCAAAAAACCCATGAGTCATGTTTTTTCCAGCCTAAACCATTCCTAATATTCACCAAACAGCCCTCTTTTATTCACTAAATTGACTGTGAGTGTGTGAAGTTGCAAGTGATAGGAGTTTCTGTGGGGGTTTGTGTGATTGGAACAAAAAGAAAAATGGTTACTACGAAATGACAGTGAAGGGTATCACTGCCATTGATCGTTCAAAAACATCCAAAGCTACATTGGTATGAATGGAAGGAGTGGGTTTGAAGCAATTTTTACTTGGAGCTCGAGTAGACAGTGGCAGGAGTAGAGGGTGTCCAATGCAGTGGCAAGATTGTTCTGAGCGTGGAATTGCAGTAGCGACCTTGGTGTAGCAGGTTCAGTTTCTCCTTCTTCAGAACTTTGGGTTAGATTATCTTACTCTCTTGCTGCTTATGTTCACTTCGATTTTTTTTTTTTTTTTAGTGCCAACTCTCACTACTTGCTTTCAATTGTGTTGCAACCCAATTGCCCACTCTGAATTCCTTTCCTGTTCCTTCTGTTCTTGTTTTCCTTCAACCCTAAACACTACCCTTATTTATATCCGAGAGAGCCTCCCTACCCTGGGAACAATTCCCGCTTCTTTCATAAGCCAACAAACCATTCTGCCTGCTAAGAATTTTGGCTCTGCATGGACAGAGCAAAAGCAATGTAGTTCCTATACTTTTCAATTTGTTTAGTTAGGTCCCTCTGTCCTGTAATTGCGATTCTGAAGTTTCTGATTGATTCAATTGTATATCTAATTTCCTCAATTTTAGTTTTGTTGATTCAATTGTCCCTCTGATTTTGTATTTTTGTATTTTTTTGGTATTTTGATTACATTTTTTTTATTTCTGATATTATTATTATTATTATTATTATTATTTTGTTAAATTCCAACAAATGATAAAACAACTAAATAAGTAAAAATAAGAAGATAAATAATAAAAAATATGAAAGGTTTTTTTATTTCTGATTTGATTTTTTTTTTTTTGGGTTTTTTTTTTTTTTTACATGCAAATAAAAACCCTACCAAAACAGAAAGCATGGTACAATTAACTAAGAAGTATTATTTGATTCTTATAAATGTTCTTATATATTTTATTAGGTGAATGAAGAAGTGGAAAGTAGTTTAAGTAGCTTAAGAAGTGGAAAGTAGGCGAATCCAAGCACTTGAACCATCAAGTCTCCAACTAATTTTTAGCCAAAAACTTCTGCTCCCTATATTTACAGGGAGCAAAATAGTTACTCTTGATAGTTCTCCCCTCCAAATCCTTCTTGTCGACACAAGGGGTGATCAAATGGTTTCGACATGTCTCCCTTATCCGGTCAAAATTGAAGTTGTGGTTCTCGATGGAGACTTCCTTCAAATGATAGCAATAGTTGGAGTAGTGAAGAATTTAACAACAATATTGCGAAGGAGAGAACAGGCAACCGGCCTTTGCTTGCTGGAGCTTGCTGAACGGTTACATTAAGGGATGGATTTGCACCCATTGGAGACATCGAGTTTACGGACAATTCGAGTTGGATTAGAAGCAGGAAATTCAGGCTTGGTGCAAGAGTAGTTCCGAGGAGCTATCAAGGAGTTAAAATTCGTGAAACGATGACCGAAGCTTTTGTTCTCAAAGATCATCGTGGAGAATGTAAGTTTCTTCTACCTAATTATGTTTTGAATTTCTTGATATTAATTTCATTGTCATGTTTGTTTCATTAAAGAATAACTTCTAGCAGGATGCATACAACCTTGAACTAAACAACAAGCTATTCCATTTATATTCTTCAATAATATTTATCTACAATTTCGAGAGAATCTTTGCTTAGTTGCTATTTGTTGCACTTAATCTGCTCATGTTAGCACCTACCGTAATAGATCATGATGGACATATTTATATTATTTCTCTTAAAAAGAAATTGTTGGATTTTCTCAAATTTAGTTATTGTTCCTCCATTCACATCTTAAATGAATTAACCATTTTTTTTTTTTTTGGGGTCAAGGAGAAATATTTATAAAGAAAAATAATCAAATTTTAATAGATGGTTAATGTTGGAGAATGAATATAAAATAATTTTTATGTCTCACCTACAATTTAAAATTTAACATGATACTAAAATCTATTAATAAAGTGATAATGATTTCGAATAGTACTCTTACCCTATCTTCTCTTCTAAGTAAATTTGATAGCCAATGATATTAATGCGGGCCTGTGCAAGTTATTAATTAATAATAATATTTAATGACAAGTTATTGTATGAATGATGTGGCACTCCTCAATTTTCTTAGTATGAGAAAAAATATGTGGTATAACTTGTCAGACTTCTTTTTCGTGAACCGTGGCGTAAGGGTAATTATTTGGTCCTGGTGTAATTATAAATAAAATATTGCTCATCTTAGCTAATAATAAAATAATCAAGAGAATGCATGTTTCTCTCCTCATGAACTTTTGCCAACGTTTTAATGATAATCTATAAATATATATGAAAAACATATTCTTTACAAAACACTTCTACTTTATGTT